TCGTCGTCAATGAGTTTGGTCACATCTATTAATGATATTTAGTTCGTCGATGCCTTCATTCTTAATACAGCATCTTTCTCAAAGATATGAAACACACAAACACACGCTGCAGTAATGTGATCATTCATATTACAACTACATATCTTCGGCTATTTATCTCCACTTCTCAGCATTGTTAAAATTTGATACGCTTGGAACTCCCATGAATCTCTCACGCGCCTGCTGCGCCGGCGCACACCGTTTACCCCATTGACTTTCGCTCACTGATCCCAAGCAAATGGGAGAAAATCGAAGCGATTAATTGTTCACTTTTTTGTGTTTTTTTTCACTTCATACATTTATATAATAGCATATTAATTTGATATAAAACACTCTAATCTGACTACTGCTGTGCTACGAAACCACATTTAGATCGCTGTTAAATTATTGCTATGCGCCGGACTTAACGATCTTTTCAACCTTCCTGGTATTTTGGTGTGAGCTGTGATTTTTGAGGGATTTTTTTGTTGCTCTTCTTTGAATTCGTGTTTTTTTCATTTAATAATTAATAGTAGTGAGTTTTGTTGACTCCGCACTAATTATAAGAAGATTTGTGGTATTTTGTGTAGTATGTTTTATTTTTAAAACATTTTTAAGATGATTTGACCAACATATTGGCACTTCAGTTCATCATGGTTCACAACTGGACTGTTGGATTATTGGGCCTCCAACCAGGTAAGCAAGCCTTGGCCAGCTAAAAGCAGCTGTGAAACCGCAATGTCCTTCTGACCCAAGGTAAATCGTAAGAGGTTTCGTGAATTTTTTGGTCTCAACAAAAGAATACGGGTCATAAAGATAGGTTTCCTCGAGCTTTTCAAAATACAGAACTTTATAGCCTAGTTATCCAAGTTATTCTTTAGAAGCAATACTGAAAATATACCTTAATATATGTAGAAACCAATAAAGGAAAATGACTTCTAGAAGCTTCCATAAACAAATTGCCTAAAAAATTTAAACAATTGTCACCGGATTTAAGTAAAATTCGAGATCGTGAGGATTTTATATATCGATCATAACTTTCTAAGTATTCAAAAACAGTTCCACAGATGACGAAATAGCTTCATGAAAATTTATATCTTGCTGACGCTGTTTTCCCTAACTTTATCAGTGTTCTTACTCCATTAAAAGTAGCTTCCCCACGCAGCAAATCAAAAACATTATACACTTCATAAGCAAAGAATAGTAAGACTTTGTTAATAATTTTAAAATGTTTAATTTGTTCTTCAAAATCTACGTCGTCCCTCTGAAAGTAATGCCACTTCGAACCAATACATTTGTGCCAACGTTTCAATTCTCGAAACAGTTGATTAAGTAAATTTCAGGAATAGCCTTCAATGCGCGTAGCGATTCACGATTAATTTCTTCAATTGACCAATAACGGTTTACTCGGAGCGCTCATTTGAGTTTGTTGAATAGCCAAAAGTCAAAAGCTAAATCAGGCGGTTGCGGCACGATATTGGTTGAAAATTTGGTGAAAACTTCAAGAATAATCAATTCAGTATGTGACGGTACATTATCGTGTTGCAAAAATCAAAAGTTGTCGGCCCATAATACCGCTCTCTTTTTACAAATAGCTTTGCGGAAACGACGCATAACACTCAAATAGTATGTATTTGGATGGACAAAAAGAGTTCGGAGTGTAACACGCCTCGATAATCGCACATGTGGTTTTTTCGGCTTCGGCTCACCTTTGCCGGGATGATTCGAGGCTGTTCGCAGCAACACAGAACTCGAAAACCTAATTAAAAAGCGTACAAAATAAAGTTTGAGGAAGAACTGAAGCTCGACTTTCCCAAGCAACATCGCTTCACTCTATTAGTTAAAGTTCCAAAAAGATCTGACATTTTCGATCCAAACTGTGATGGAACCTAGTTCTGGCTCAATAGCTATGTAAGCAATCAAAATTGAAGCATTTGGAACTAAAAGCAACTTGACGAGATTCAAGAGTTACCATTTTTTCTCGAAAAAAGAGGGGTTTGGTGTGTTTTGTAGGCCGGTGGAATCATCGGTCCATATTTCTTCAAAAATAATGCCGGCGAGAACTTAACCGTTAATGTTGACCGTTACCATATCATGATAACCTACTAGTTGATGGCGTAAATTGAAGCTCGTGAGGTCGGCGACATTTGGTTTAAACAAGACGGCGCACTTCCCAAACATCGCATAAATAAATGGATATATCGAGTTAACACTTTCACACCGTTAGACACACCTTTTTTTCTGTGAGAATATGAATAGATCGAAAATCTATGCGGACAATCTAGCTTCGATTCCGGCCTTGGAGCAAAACATCACGCGCGACAAACGAGTCATCAAAAATGCTCTTCAAAATCTCCAAATCTTCAAAAAATAAATATCAAAAAATGTTCTTTCGAATGATAATACAGAGTCGCATTGAATTTGAAGCTTCTGTGTTCTTTTCACAAAAGTAGGCAACCTTGAAAAGGTCCATTATTATTAACTCTCTAAAGGTTTCCGCATCAACCATGGCATGAAAATAAGGAAGAAGCTTAAATGTAGCATATGATTTCTTTATTTAAATTTGAATTATAAGTGTACTTAGAAATTAATTAGTTTTAATCAGTTAAGCGAATCAACAAGATTTAAATTTACGATATAGTTTTGCGTTAGACATTATATTATTTATATTATACTTGTTTTTTCTTTTCTCTTTTCTTATGTTTATTTTATTTACATTCAATTGCAACCTAAGTGTTTAGGAATTTTATGGTTTTCTTTACATTTCAATTATCACAGATTTAAATTTTCACTTAAACGTATTGCATTTATGTAGGTATGTGTTTATACATATATGTGTGCATGTATATATAACGCCAGTATATATACGAAACAAATAATTTTAGAATAGCTTAATTCATACTAAATTTATGTACTACAGAATTTCGACTTGCAATTACGTGTCTGCGTGTGTGTTTTTTCCGCCCCTTAAAATAATTTATCGTATTATTTTATGTACAATTTAAATGTTTGCATATATGTTTACAATGAGAATAATATTTATATTGATTATAGTATTTGTATTTGTTGTAATTGTTATTGCAAATCGTTATTATTACACACAAGTAAAACAACAAATTAATTGGCAAGTGTCTTAATTAATAATCTTGCTTTTGTTGTATGTCATAAATGTAGTACCGTTATGCACATGTTTAGGTACACTCGCATATATGCATAGCTGTGTGTTTATATGTATGTGTCAGTCATGTGTTGTTGCGTTGCAATTACTCTTGTTGCAGCAAAACAAATTTTAACTTTGTTATTATTTATGTACATATATACGTACAAATTATATTATTATATACGCAACTCGCCTACGCACACGCAAACGTAGTTGCTTTGGTATGTGTGTATTTAGTTCAAAAGTTTTCTGTTACATTTTTATTGCTGTTATTAAAAGTGTTATGAGCAATAATTTATTATATTTTTTTTTTCGGTGCGCTTAATGAAAATTTGCTGTAAACGTGTTAATAATTTGCTATAGTTTGTTTTTGATTTTGATGATTTTTTATTTGATGATTTTTTATACGTTACATAAGTGGTACTTATGAACTGTTGGGTATATTTAGAGCACATCGCTGACGCAGGGGGTGGTTCGAAAACATATTTTTTGATAGTCTTTACGATCAAGAATATTTTAGAAATTCCGAAAGCATATTTTTTGATACTCTACATGTTTTAGAATACTTTTTTCTAATTCTTTTCGTTTCAACATTTTTTAATTATTTATTTTACTTTTTAATTTGAAGCTATTTAGGAATTGATAAGAATTATGAAATTGTTAGCGTATAAAAAAGAAAAAAAATAGGAATCGATGTATTCAAATAAATAATAGAAAAAATAAAATTAAATTAAATTAAACAAAATAAAATTAAAAAAAATTAAAATAAAATAAAACAAAATAAAATAAAACGAAATAAAATAAAATAAAATTAAATTAAATTAAACAAAATAAAATTAAAAAAAATTAAAATAAAATAAAACAAAATAAAATAAAACGAAATAAAATAAAATAAAATTAAATTAAATTAAATTAAATATTTATACATTAAAATTACAAGTCGGAGATGGGAACTTACTTATGTATATAAAAGCAAAATTTCACACTTTTTTACACCTCCATTAAAGCTATATTTTTTAGATTTAAAAGCTATTGAAATTTTTTTTAGCTTTTTGAAATTTTATACCTTAATTTATAAGCTGAATCCATAAAAAAGTTTTTCAAAGATAAACAAAGCAAAAAGAAAAAAACCCAAGCGATTTAGTACTCTAGTTTTTGAGATATCAATCTGAATTTTTGTACACATGCTTTAATCGGCAAGAGACTGCTTATCGGATAGCTATAGCATATAGCTGCCATACAAACCAACCGATTAAAATCAAGCGCTGTTATGGCATCCGTGCAACCGAAATCAACGTTTTTCTATTTTTCTTATACCCTCAGCGTTAATTCTTTTTAGTTTGTAAACATGTTTACGAACCAGCCCCTACTTGCGCCAACAGCAAAATAATGCCGCATGCGTTAATTTTTAGCACTTTTTAATTGCCATCTTTTAATGTGCTTTTAATCTTAATTTATAAGTTTTACAAGCAATTTTATCAAGGCTTAATTGCTATTTTTACAACACCTTCGCGCTTTTTACCGATAGTGTTAATGTTGCAGCTGCTATCTAGCTTTCAGTCTAGTCAGCTAGTGTGTGCGCAGAGTCGTTAACCTGCCGTTGGTGTGACTAATGGGATGTGCGTATGCCTTAACTAGCTTTTATTGTTGTTTTAATAAAGCGCTATTAATTGTACAATAACAACTGCAACAGCACAGGCAATTTGCGGCGACCACCCTCTCCATATTTTCACGTATTTGCTGCGGCGAGTTCGTGCCTTAAGTCTTCAGTTATTACTTTTACTGTTTTCAACTACTTTTTGAGTTACTTTTTTTTTGTTTCCCCTTTTTTTTTTTTTTTTGGTTAGCTGCGCGCGTGTTGAATTACGCAGCCGGCAGGCGAATTGCAATAAACACTTTTTATTGCCGCTTACTCAAATTACGTTTTTATTGCAAAATAATTAGCGCGTTTAAATTGTGACGGCAGGCACTGCTGCGAATAGCGGATTTGTGGTGTATATACACATGTATGTAAATACGACGCAGATGTACAAGGAAAAGTAATGAAGAAACTAGTGTGACTTACTTCCGCTGTCCGCCGTCCGTAAGCGCCGCGCTTTGCTACAAAAATTTCAATACAATTATATTTTTACAATTTATTGCCTGCTTTTGTTGTTGCGCATGTCCCACATGTCCCATGGATGACACGAGTTGCGTAAGCTTAATTTTTTTTTTTTAAATTTTTTTCAGCGACTGATTGACTCATGACCTCCAACTCTCCCCACTCAGCCCTCAGCACGTGCCGCTGCCAACGCGTAATTGATACCCACACTGGCACCCATTGCCGCGCCGTACATCCCTTGCGACACAGCGATACCATTACCACCGTTGTAGCACATGCCAGTCGCGGCGCTAGTGGGCGTCCCCATTAAGCCGCTGCGCGCCAGCTGATTCAAGGCAATGCCACTGCCGCCGCTCACCAACTTCATGTTGGGTGGTGTTTGTGGCGGCGTATCCGGCTGTATTTCGTTGAAACCCAAGCGCTGTTGCTGCTGTTGTTGCTGTTGCAGCTGGTGATATTGTTGCGCTGTTAACAGTGGTGGCCCCTGCGTCATGGCAGGTGGCGTCGAAGCGCTACTGTTGCTGCTGCCACTGCCAATACTGCCGTTGTGGTGGTTGCTGCTGCCGCTGCCATTGTTGCTGCTGTTGCTGCTGGAGCTCAAATTGAGAAATTGACCGCTGCTGTTGTTGTTGTTGTTGCTGCTGCCAGTTGCTGCGTACGCCGTAGGTATGCGCGAATAAGGCAATGCGCCGACGTAGCCGTTCATCATACTCAGCGATGTCGAATTGTTGCTGCTGCTGCTGTTGTTGTTGTGCGCTGGTTGTGTGTTGCTGCTGCTGTGTGGATTGAGTTGACTGAGCTGTTGTAAGTGCGTCGGCATTTGTTGGTAGTATTGCGACCGGCTCGGCAGCAACGATTGCTGCTGCTGTTGTTGTTGCTGTAGCTGCTGCTGATATGTGTTCATTTGTGTAGGTGGTGGCAGTGCGGCCAGCGTCGGCGGCGGCGGAAGTGGCGGTGTCTTGCAAGCGACCGTGTCTGCCAAACTCCAGATCTTGGGTTTGCTCGCTGGGAGCGGTATACCACAGTCCGCCGCACGCAGCAGGTTTTTTGACACATTATACTCATTCGCTGCGTTGATTTGACTTGTTGTGCCATATGTCATACTAACTGCATGCTGCTGTTGTTGCTGTTGTTGGTAGTAAGCAGTTGCTTGTTGTTGTTGGTAGGGATGATAGCTGGGGTGTTGCCCATATGGTGAACTGTAGATGCCACTCATGTTGCGTAAGGAGGATATATCGCCGAATTTCGGTTCATCCATTGTGCAGCCATCCATTTTGTATTCCTTCCCCAATAACTCAGATTTCACCACGGGGTCATCTGCGAAAGAGAGAGGGGGAGGGTGATATGCAAATTAATTTGATTTCAATTTGTTTGCGAATTGAGTGCGGAAATCTCTGCTAAGACGCACAATCATAACAAGGAATTGTACACAACGGTTAAGTTAAGACAACAACAAAAACAAAAGTTTTGGAAAACCTTCCCATTTCTCAAAAAAGTTACTACTCCCCGCTCTGTGCTATCATTTGTGGGCGTTGAAGCGCTCAACCCTCGCAATGCCACAACTTTCAACTACAAAATATTTCATCTTCCGTTACTTTGAAGCCACCAACCTCTACCGTCCTTTATGCAGTAATTCCACAAGCACTTCACTGGTGTTTACTCTGCTCGTTGGTGTCTTGTCTTGTCTTGAAGTTAACTTAATTTGGTAAAAGTTGCAGAATTCAGTCAGCGAGGCCACTTAAAGGCGTTGTTGCACAGCCCACCGAGCAGCCCTTAACTTAATGGCAGCCATATGCCAGCCATTTCCTGCCGACGTCGACCAGCCGTCGAGCAGTTGGGGCAGCTCAGTTGTATCATAGTCAATGTCAGTGATAAAGCAAGCAATAACAACAACATAAGTATGTGTGAACGCTTGGAAGACAACAACAGCCCACAAGTGGCAGTTAGCGAGTGTAAGAGGTAGTGGCAGCAGACAAAAGGGGGAATGTGTAATGTCGCGCCACATAAATATCACTTAAAGTGAATGATGCGCCAGCCAAAAAGCCAACCCCAGTGTTGGCAATGCTTGCACTCGTAAACGCTTTGTTGCGCTTTGTTGGAGCAAGCAGTGATTTTGGCAAGCGAAATTTCTGAGGGTTTCGTTACAATGTGTCTTTTATGAGGGTGGTTCGGAAAATAGGCAGAGTAGATGAAAACGCATATATGATATGAAAGCTTAAAGAGTAGTTTCGCCTTTAGTTTCTTATATCTTAACTCTTTTGGAATGGAGAATTTATACATTTTGGAGTTAATTTATTGAAGTCGAGGTAAAAATAGTATTTTATACAGCTTTTTTGCTTTTAAGTCTTCACAGAGATCTTTAGACCTTTTTAAGCTTTTGCAGACCATATTTCATTTAGACTTTTAGAACCTTAAAATGGACTTATTTTAATTATAGCTTTAGTGTTTACTATAAATTGGAGATATGGTTTAATAATGGGATCCACCATTTGGAAATATAAAGGAGACCCAAATATGAGTTTCTGGTCTTATTGAAACTTTTATAGAGTAAGGCAATGGGATACCTTAGACGTTAGGTCTTTCATATAATACATCATTTTGATAAACCCAGCATCCTTGAAAGATTTCGAGTTGTAACTCGATCAAAAATAATCGTTAAAGATGGCTTTGCGAATGACCTAAATCTATAAGTTTTTTGTTTAGTAAGATAAAAACTGAATAATACATTGGAACGTGATTAGAAAAGAATTGAAAATTATATATACCGCTACTTTTCTTCATTAAGGGGTAACATGAGTTTACGGGTTTCCAAAATTTTTTTCAATTTTTATATTGTCTTATTATCTCTAGAATATTGTCCTAAATTTTCATGTTGATCCGAATAATAGTTTCGGATATATAGCCTTGAGAAATTATGCGCTCGAGCTAGCTAGGCTAACTGCGCCGTCTTTAAACGCGTTTTTCTCGTAACTATTTTTTTTAAATCCGCTGGCAAGATTTCTGGAGAAATACTCAACCGATCTTCATGAAATTTTACACAGGTCTTTCAGATACAATTCTTAAATACTCGGATGAAGGATTTTTTTACAACTATTTGTAAAAAAATGTCGGGAAATTTTAATTTTTTTATAAAACTGTCTGCAAAAATCCAATTCTCAGTTTTTTTCCTTCGTCCAAATTATAAATTAAGGTTTTAACTAAAATACATATTTTTTTCCTTTAGATGATACTGTAAGGAGTTAACCTACCAAAGCGGGCACATCTTTTTTCCTAAGAGTCACTGGAAATGACGTTGCAATGGCCTAGTTTAAAATTTCTTTTTAAAAAATTTCAGAATTTCTTTGCTATTTGTTAATGTTAATGTTAAAATATTTTTTTTTTTGTATGAGAAAAATTTTTTTTTTAAATGAAGCATCGAGCAGTATAAGAATATAGAATCAAGAATATTATTTTTCTAAAAATAATCTGTAAATTTTCTATATCAAATATTTTTCGTACCACCCTCATTTTCAGTGCAACAAAATGTCAACAACCCTCACGCGATGGACCAAAAGGAATACCGTCAACATTTTGTGCTGCTTAAGTGCTTACGACAAAAGGAAACGACCTTAAGAAACAGAGTGTAACCATAAGCGATGCCAAAGTGCCAAACAAGTAATGAGAGTTTTCTCAAAGGATAGCAATAACAATGGCGAAACGGCAAGCCTGTAGTTGACATAGGGCAGTAAGGCAGGAAACTCACACGGACAAATATCGAAGGCTTAAATGAAATCAAGTTAGTTTTAACAACTTAAGATTAGCGGATAGCGATGTTACCTAACTACCAAAACTATAACCAACACTTCAGCTGTTAAAATATTCCATATAATATCCACATAATAAACATTTAGCAATTTAGTTGTCTAACTCACCTTTTCGCAAGTCACTGCCACTCAAAGCTGCACCACCGTAAACGCCCCCAACGACGTCGCCTGCGCCTACACCGCCGCTGCTCAGCTTATCAACCTCATCGGCAGCATCTTTTTCCTTCTCATCGTCCGACAACATTGCTTCATCATCGTCGTCGGTCTTATTCTTTGGTTCCCAAGTCATTTTATTCTCCTTCTTCAAACGTCGACGCGCATTCGCGAACCATGTAGAGACCTGTGTCAGCGTCATTTTCGTAATGATGGCCAACATTATCTTCTCACCTTTGGTGGGGTAGGGATTCTTCTTGTGCTCACTAAGCCAAGCCTTCAGTGTGGCTGTGGACTCACGTGTGGCGTTCTTGCGGCGTGCGGCCAAGTCGTAACTGGAACCGTAACTAAAAGAAATTTTTTTTTTTAGACATTTTAAATGTATGTGATAATTGAACGTTTTTTTTTTTTCTTTTATTTTTATGGCCAGAAAATTATTATTTTTTAGATTTTTTTAAAATAAACCGTTAATAACCTGAGCAGGGTATATTAAGATTGCCAGGAAGTTTGAAATATTCATAGGGAAACAAATATATATATGTATGTATAAATAATCAGGATGAGTGGATTTAGCTGTATACGTCTGTTTGTCTGTGTTTGTATATAAGCAAATTACTCCCTCAGTTTTTGAGACGTCGATTTGAAATCCCTCAAATGTTCTTTTCTGCTTATTTTCCTCAAGATCCAGTTCTTGTTCGGCAAACTCTTTTATTTGATGAGATATCTTCACGAAATTTTGTATGCGTTATTACACGCAGCAATGCTATAATCTCCGAAGAAACTGTTTGAAGCGGACCACTATAGCTTATAGCTGTCATACAAACTGACCGATCATAATCCAGTTCTTGTATGCAAAACTATTTTCTTTCACGAGTTATCTTAACGAAATTTGGCATAAATAAAAACCCTAGACAACTATACAATTTCCGAACAAATTGTTCGGATCGGACTACAATAGCAAATAGCTGTCATACAAACCGACCGCTGTAAATCAATTTAGAGATCTTTATATATCCGTTTATGCGATACGAAATACACATGTGAAGGGTATTGAAGTTGCGGTACAAACGAAGTTAACGTTTTTTAACTTATCAAAGCTGTTATTATTTTTTTCTTTAACAAAAAACTCAATCTTAATCAGATTACAATCTGCTTAATGTCTTTCCCACCAACCCTCATCGCCTTGAGAGCGGATTTCTAAATGAATTGGCGAATACGAGTGTTAACTTACTAATTTATAACGGTCAATTATAGCAAATCGAAATATATATATAAGTAGAAACATATATGCACATGTAAATAACTAATCATACGTAAATAAATACTCGCTTGATTTACTCAAGTCGAGTGGCGGCAATTAAGTGTCGGCTGCGCCTCAAAGCGCTATCGATTCTGCAATTTGTAAATATTGCCAAAGCGTCAACCGCACAGCAAAGCAACAATAATAAAAACAACAACAAAAATTAACAGTCAGCTCAACAACAATACCAACAAAAACAACCTCAGCTATCGCCACGATAACGTCAATGCTGCAAACAACGCTCCACCAGACAGCCCCGCGCAATCACACATTGCGAACTTAGAAATTTAGAAGACAGGCAACAACAACAACAACTATATGAAATATGAGCAACTAATTGTCAGTTGGAATGTTGATTGAGCCACAATACTGTCATTGCAGACATAGCCTTCGCCACCGCCTCTAACACCACTTCCTCCCAACAGCAATGCCACCGCCATGGCAGCGCACGAGCGCGGTACGCTAACTTTAGCTTTTAGTTGAGTAATTTCGTTATCTGCAGCGGAGACACCTTGGTACAGTAATTGACTTGACTTGAATATGGTTTCGGAATGGAGTTGCAGTTTAGCTTACCCAATCAACGCTGATATGTATTAGTGTTATAGGCGGTATTATCTAAGTAAGCGCTTTGATGCCATATCTGTAAGCGCATTTAATCGATAAGCATTCGTTTCTAATAATACGTGCGGACTATGTGCAAAATGAAGAAATTGCCATTATTGGGCTTATAATAAATATTTTTAGTAAGCATGTTTTCGTTCGTTTGTGTCCAAACTCATTATCTCATTAACGATTGAAATAATGCACAGATTCAATGAAGTTAGCTATCGATCCATTAAACTATAAATGGATTTACTTAGGATGGATTATCGTACTCATTGATCGAAAGTTGACTACAACAAACATACTGATGGATCAGTAGATCGTGCAGTCACGTAATGATTTTCTGCCAAGACTGTGTCCAGCATTGTACATCGTTTATAACAAACGCAATCACGCCGGAATCTTTATAAAGGGCAGTAGAAAGTTCCGAAAGCGTTCGGTTTTATTTGCAATTATGTTTGTGAAAGGTTTTCTTTTGATCTTCTATTACTGTCGGACTCTGACCTCTCTAACAGCTTAAAATCACTATATGGTCATTATAATAGTTAATTCATATGTAAAAATCTTTGAAATGGCAATGTCTTCATAGGACTTTATCTTGTCGAAGCATCATATTTCATAGCAAGGATATTTTTAGAAGCTACTCATAAAGCCTGCGTTTTGCAATTCCATAATTCATGACTTTGAAAAGTTAAAAATGTAACGGGTAGTAGACCGACAGGGGCCGCAAACGACATCCCGCTCTTTTGACATTTCTCTTCAGTAAGGTTTGTCATTTCATCATGAAAAGATATACGATCAAATTCGAAATTCCATTCATGGTGATCATAATCGTCCTGTCCGATCAACAATTGAGCACCTAGTGGTAGTTTTGATCCACAGGCACAGTAGTTTATGGATGTTTTCAGATTTTGATCATGGAGGTCAGGAGGTGAGATTATTGATCTTTTAAAATCATGATATTCTGATGACGCTACTGAGTATTTTATCTTATCAAATAAAGACACCTAGACTATTATATTACTGGGAAAAATCAAATCCCGTAGCTAAGTGGAGGAGAAAAATATCTCAAACAAGCTTTAAAATGTTGAACTCCTTATTGTATAAAATTTTATTTAAAACATAAAATTTTTTTCTAATTAGCATTGCAAGGAAATTCAAGATGCGATGGTACAATATACCTGCGAGCAAAACTGAAAAATACGAAATACCAACTGGTCACAGATTCATTACAGAATGGGGCTAACAAATCAAGAAGACTGCAAAAAGTGTCAAAACCAAGACAGGGAAACATTAGATTTTGTTTTTGTGAATAGTCAGACAAGAGGCAAGAAGTAGTGTTTGAGATTCTGATATGCAACAAATAACTTAAATCGTCGAAACCGTTTCGTAATTTTAACAAGAAACCTTCCAAGCCAGGATTGACAGTCAACAAGATTTAGCTGTGTTTTTGGTGCGATTTGTAAGGAATCATTTGCTATGAGGTCTTCTTAATTCTTAATTCGAACAACTGCTGTCGAAAATTTCACCGCCTGAAGGAAACAAACGTCCGGAAGAGGTCAGCTTTTCGCAATAGGAGTTTAACTATGCTTTATCAGTGTAACACAAGGTTATATACATCGATAGTTATAGACATGCGCTCCGGAAGCTTGGTTGGGTATGCATCCACCTTATAGCATGCGACAGTCACCAAGGGATTACTACATGAGTTCGCCTGTCTATGATGAATGACTTTGCTGTTGAAAATTATATCTCAAGGGAAACTTATGAAAATCCTATTCAAGTTTTTTGTTTTTAAGTAGGAGAGTTTCTATGAAAGTGGTATATGAACCGAACAAAACGTGGCATACTAAATAAAGCTTTCAACTTAAAAAAATGGATTTGTATTTACTAAAACAAACTAAAGCAAACACAAGCTTGACTTAAGCTCTGAAAAAGTTTATTTAATTGGTATTTTCCCATCACATAATTCTAAAATGCTAGCTCCTCAATACAAATCCTCTAAATCTTTAAACCCACAACAAAACCGAAATGCGGAAAAAGTTTCCAAATCGTGTGAGCTTTAGCAGTTTCAGCGTGAAAATTCACAGCGAAAATCCTTGAAAGTGACAGCTGGCCATAATAAAAGCTTTTCCACCACGGCGGAACGCACAACGAATTTAAATCTTTCGATAATTTTAAGTGTCGCATTTGAAAAACAACAACAACTACAAGCACAAATAACCAATAGCCAAACAAGCGAAATAAAAACGAAGTAACTGTAATAGATAGAACGGAAAATGAAAACGTATTGCTGATACGAACGAAAGGAGACGAAATCGTGCGTTGTGGTCGATAAGGGCGACAGGACATTGCAGAGACGTAAGCGACAAATACTGCTGTACCACTTGTTGAACTGCCACAGACTACAAATGTACGCGTGGGATTTAGTTGGGTTCATAGACAAAGTTACTGCTGTTGTTGTTACTAGTGTTTCTATAGTATGCGCGTGTGTTCTACGCCATTTTTGTGGCACACAACCGCAGACAAGCTCGTCGCACTCTCAAAGTGGACGCAGCAGCCGACTACGGCTTGCGGCCAAATAGCAAATATGCAGCGTCGTGATCGGCTGAGTTATCTGTCTTTAATTTTATCAGCATTTAAGCGTTTAAACTCTGCACATAATGAAATTCGTTTAATTTAAAAAACAAATCCTTGCAACAATTCAATATTTAGTTCTTGTATTAATGTGAACAGAAGTTGGTAATCTCGGTCATTTAACGCTTGGCGGCATTGACGCTAACGAAATCCGAAATTTCTTTTTGGGCAGCAAATAAGTAATAAATCACGTGCATAGCGTGTTCCACTTCCACAACAACCGTTAGCTGACACACGCCACAGCCAGAGCCAAAGCGAGTGAGGTCATGAGAAGAAACCTGCTCACTGATAAGCCACTTATGAGCATAAAGACCAGACAACATATTGTCAACACGTCATAAGTCATCGCGTTTACGTTCAAGTGCTTAAGATTTATTTCTTATTCTGTTGTTAGACTTACATACATATACTCTATATACATATTTATGAATAAGTAGCACGCTGATAATATTATTTTTATTTTTTTTATTTTTTTATTTTTTTTATTTTTTTTTTTTTGGTTCAAACATAATAATTGCAGATAAGTGCCATTGCTTACTTACCCATAAGCGGCAATGGGATCATATGAATAATAACCAGTGGTTGGCTGCAGGCTAGCTGAGGTCCAAGCAGACATGTCAGAGCCAGCGTTGCCTTCTTTAAGTGCATAGGGGTTACTCTGTAAGAAGAAGAGAGGAAATAAAAAAATTAGAGCTAAGAAAAATAGTAGATTGAATTTAAATATAAAAAATATAAAGTAATTAAAAACTGGCGTAGAACTGTGTAGAATATTAAAATGTAAAAGTGTTTTTTTCATAAAAAGATGTTAATAAAAAAAATTACAAAATATAACTTTTTTATATTCTACTTAAAGTGCTTTAAATTTTTTGCAAATACGCAAAGTGTTCATACGACTTTTCTTTAATTTTTTTTTTTTTTTTTTTAATTCTAAGTATTCCGGGTGTAGTTTTCTCAATCCAGAATCCTCTTCCGAGTTTCCGGAGATCTTCAAGTGTTCGGTTTTTTATTTTACTTGAGTATTACTTCTTTGGCAGCTGCTTTTATATGACACTAACAATTTGTATGGCGATTTTACCTCAAATAATTTTCAAAAATACTGCCAAGTTAATAGTCATTGACCTGATAAAAATCCGAGACTATTATAATTCTTTGATTACCGTGTTGGAGTTAAACATGAATTCGTTGCAAACGGTCAATAAGGCAGAAAATTCCTGGTTTTTCTCAGCGACAATGTGCCGTCAAATTCGAACATGATTGTAACAAACCAAACTTTTTGGAGGAACACGAAACGAGAATTATCGGTCAGCCTCTCCAAATTTGGCTATTCTAGTTATTATTGAAATTCGTTTTATTCCATTACATATCGAACTTTTGTTGTAATCCCACTAATAATATTAGCAGAAAAATAGAATTTGTTGAACATGAAATTTCGCCAGTTGACTCTATCCTTTGTGAGTCCATCCCAGTTGTACATCCCAGACAGGTCACTTATCCACTTGGTGCTCCTATTGGATATGTGGGCCTCCTTGCTGCCGTTGAAACATCATCTTCGATGCGAACGGCATGGGCTAATCTGTGCATTTGTTGCATTCTAACCGCTTAACTGTATCTATTGCGTGGTTCTATCTTCTACGGTATTCATCGCTCACGTGAATGACTCCAAAGATCTTGCGACGAACAGTTCGAATGTTTTTGAGCCATATAATAGGACGGGAATTAGAAATGCTGGTTCCGAGACATCAAAGTCTTTACATTTTCAAATTCATAACTGCCAAAATTGACGTAGTTCCCAAGATGCGAGGAATCTTTGTATGTGGCCTCTAAGTACTTTGTCTTACCTCGTAAATGACAGGACCAACTTTTTTCGATACTAGGCTTGTCTATACCATCTGGCTACTCCAGGAGCCTTGTACTTCTAGAGTAAACAGTATCAGATTGACGGCACTTGATACTTTTTTCAGAATTATTTAAAAAAGATTCACGAGAGTCTCAGTCTAAAAACTTGAACATGTAACGAACGCCTTGAAGAGGTCCTTCCCGATTTTCACGGAGCTAATGTGCTCAGCGGTATTCTGCATAGTTTCGAGAAGTATTACCTCCACATATCGAGTGTAATCTGTGTGTCTGTTATTAAGGGGTTAGGTGGGTTTGAGGATTTACAAAAATCGATTTTCTTTTTTTTTTGTTTGCTTTGTTAATTCTACAATATCTCTAGAATATAGTCCTAAATTTTAAAGTTGATCTGAGTATTAATTACGGAGATACAGCCTTGAGAACTTGTGCACTCAAGGCTAGCTGCGCTAAGTGCCCTGCCTTTAAACGCGTTTTTCTCGAAACTGTGTTTCTGAAGTGGGTGCACACGATTTCTCGAAAAGTTATCGACCGATTTAGTTCGTATTGTGTACACGTTTTTGAAATAATATTATACAGTTATTGATTGAAGGATTTTTTCTTGTTTAATTACAACTTATTTTTCTGACCAAAAAATTTTACCAAAAATTAGATTTTTTGTTCAAAGTCCGAGAATAGAAGGACAATTTTAATATTTTTTTATTTCCTACGTTCAAAAATGAGATTTAGATATGTACTAACAGAATATGCTTAGTTTTTCAATTTTACATGAACCAATAATAAGTTATGCTGTCCACGGCGAGAGCACTTTTTTGCGAGACACCCAGGGAAATGCGGTCTCAACGGCGGAATTTCCAACATTTTTGTATCGAAATTTCAGGAGATATTCTTCAAATATACTCGTATACCATTGATATAACATATTATATTTTTCAAATATATGATTGCTTTACCTTTTTTTTTTTACCTCTGAAACCCACCTTAAGCGGTTAGGTTTTCTTTCCTTACTTTACAGAAGCCGGCCTCGAACAACAATAATTTGTTTGCTGCCTTAACTTCTAAAAAAATTTTCGCACTTTACCGCTGCCAATCAGCTTCTCAAACTCTTATCTTATACTTATCTCTTATCTCTTTCTGCCTATATGTTTATTTTATTGAAAATACGTAGCTCGATACTATATCGAAGTTTTAAAAATAAACAAGACTTGGCTAACTTTTAAAAAATACCTTTAGTAACACACTTAATTAAAACATTTTAAAATGCGATATTAAAAAGGCTTGTGTGAGCGAAATCTTTCTATTCATATCGGGTGATTTTTTAAGAGCTTGATAACTTTTTTAAAAAAAAAAACGCATAAAATTTGCAAAATCTCATCGGTTCTTTATTTGAAACGTTAGATTGGTTCATGACATTTACTTTTTGAAGATAATTTCATTTAAATGTTGACCGCGGCTGCGTCTTAGGTCTGTCTCTTATACACATCTAGATGTGTATAAGAGACAGCTTCTGTACGCACTGTACGCATTCGTGTGGTTGGTTTAATGTCCAATAAAGTAAACTGAGTGCGAAACTTGGTCACAATCGCATTAATTGTTTGCTCCTGTCTCTTATACACATCTAGATGTGTATAAGAGACAGGGCTTCTGGTTGCTCTTCACCCCAAATGCGGCAATTTTGCTTATTTACGTAGCCATTCAACCAGAAATGAGCCTCATCGCTGAACAAAATTTGTCGATAAAAAAGCGGATTTTCTGCCAACTTTTCTAGGGCCCATTCACTGAAAATTCGACGTTGTGGCAGATCGTTCGGCTTCAGTTCTTGCACGAGCTGTATTTTATACGGTTTTACACCAAGATCTTTGCGTAAAATCTTCCATGTGGTCGAATAACACAAACCCAATTGCTGCGAACGGCGACGAATCGACATTTCACGGTCTTCAGCCACACTCTCAGAAACAGACGCAATATTCTCTTCTGTACGCACTGTACGCATTCGTGTGGTTGGTTTAATGTCCAATAAAGTAAACTGAGTGCGAAACTTGGTCACAATCGCATTAATTGTTTGCTCACTTGGTCGATTATGTAGACCATAAATCGGACGTAAAGCGCGAAACACATTTCGAACCGAACACTGATTTTGGTAATAAAATTCAATGATTTGCAAGCGTTGCTCGTTAGTAAGTCTATTCATGATGAAATGTCAAAGCATACTGAGCATCTTTCTCTTTGACACCATGTCTGATATCCCACGTGATCTGTCAAATACTAATGCATGAAAATCCTAACCTCAAAAAAATCACCCGATACTTACTTTATTTCATTTTATGCATGTCTTATTAAATAAGTTCGATTAGTTTGTGAAAACCAATCAATACACACAAAAGCACACTAAAAAAATGACAAAGCAAAACAAAGCCAAAGGAAACTAAGCCCAAATAAATCGAAGCTGTAGAATAAAATGTAGAAATAGAACGAAATTTACTTGCTGAATAATAAAAATTTAAAAACAGCACAACAATAATACTTTCTATACTGAAAAAAAGTGACAAAGGCTTATAATTAAATACTAAATAAAACCGAATAAAAGTACACTCGCAATGACAGCGCTGACAAGTGAGGCAACAACAAAATGGCAAATATGGCAGTCAAAGCGATCGCACGCGATGATGGCGGCAAAACTCAATGAATGAGCTATGAATGAGAATGAATTTATTTACACAAGCATTGTTGCCAAACGCAAAACACAAAAACAAAAAACAACAACAACAAAATATAAATGCTAAAACGAAACCGAAATTCAACTTAGTTCAAATTGGCTAAAAGGGAAACGGACGTCGGCAGCGGTAATACACAGATACACAAATATGATATTTGTACATATGTATACAATATATGTATATACATCTATATGTACATATATGTTGCTGTGTGTGTATGTGTTCTACTCAAAATAAAGGTGTCTCACCGGCAAAGCAATACATTGCTGCAATTCCTGTTGTTGTCATGTTTTAGTTTAGTTAACATAAATGCAAGTGTAAAACACGAGCAACAAGCATTGCTAAAACAACAACAATTACAAATACATAAATGCGAACAGACTCATTTATAATGGTAATAATAACAAATGCAAGGGCACACACCAGCATAGAAGCCACAAATGTAGACATACATATATATAAGTAAATGATATTTTTGCTAGACGCGGTGGCTTTTTATATGTACATATACTCCTATACATTTATTAAAAAATCAACACAATGGCATGATTTTAAAACGGATGAGGCTTAACAAACTATATACAACCTTTTTTATGGTAAATTCTACGACATAAGAGACAATATATAATAATGATTTTAGTACATTAAGGCCCGTTTCTCAATGTCTTGTTAGCATCAATCTATCATTTAAGTTCCGGTTAACTTAACCAAGACTCCTTCGTTTGGTAAATAATCTTTGTTTTTTAACTATAACAACTGACAGATGGCAGACATTAAGAAAACGCCTTAAAATGGATTGAAATTTAAACCTTCGCGACCAAAAAAGAAAGCTATTGGAAATAAACAAGAAAACTCGTCGTGTTAGTAAACTTTTAGTGAAGGTGAGGCAGTGATGGATTATCAAAGTTTTGAAAGTAACTTGGAAGGGAATAACTTACAGAAAATACTAAAATGAATATTAGCAAATTTTCGTAAAATAAAGAAGCATTTTGAGGCTTATTTTTGGAACCAATTTGTGTTGCTCGGCAAGGCGCATAAAAAATAGTCTGCTTCAGTATATAATATTATAATAAGAGTTAATGTCGATAGAATGTGGTATTTGTCATTTCCCAAAAATAACAAATAGTTTTACTGCTAAAATGTTGGGGTAGGTCAAAAAACGAATATTTTCTTCACCTGGCACTTTGAAAAATAGGACGATCACTACTCTACTCATTCTTAAATTACATAATCTTTTTTTTATTTAGTATTTTTTTATACATTTTCTCTTAGCTTCACTCTCATTCTCAATATCTGACTCTTTTTTTCTCTACATATCTGAACTATTTTAAATCTGAAAATACCTTAATAGCCTAAATGTATATTATAAATAAAACTTTTTCTCTCTTTAGTCTTTATTACCTCTCTAACAGTCTCTCTCCTCAAACTGTCCTGTAAAACTTTGTTTTACATAATTATTTCTTTTCTTAATTTTTGCAATTCTCACCTAGCTTATATATATTGTCGATCCTAACCGGCATCTAAATTCTAACGCATGCATTAGAACCGCTAAGAACGCTGATCCATTGTGGTACCTCTTACAATATAGATCACAAGAGCCCCACATCGACAAAGCGCTTTGAGCCTATCGCATATTTGTTGAAACGGGGACTATTAGTTGCGGCTATGCCAGTTACTAAGACTGACACTTACACAGTAGATTTTCAGTATAAATTTAGTTTCATCGCACAATAACTCAATTGCGTACAAACGGTTCGACAAATTCCAAAACCAAATAATCCGGACTTCAATGTCAAAGCGCTCAATTCAATTATCTTGTCAGTAGAGACGCGGCTGCAGGCAGTGACGGCGCACGCGCGAACCAAATACCGCCTGCTGACCGCTGTCTATTTGCATAACGAAAGGATCGGACTTTCAACGTGAATTTGACGTGCCACAAACCACAAAAGCGAACAAATGATAATCCAATTAAATGTTAACGATACAAGTAACACACACACACACATACGTACTCATATACGCGCGCATTTACAACGTATAATAACGTAATAAAAAAGCCAACAAATACTTACCAGCGGCGAATAGAACGCCGAACTATCCACGCCAATGCTGGGATAGGGATTTTGCTCGCTTGATGGATAGGGCGTGCCATAAACACCAACACCAACGCCGGCTGTGGCACCAGCGCCGGGCATGCGCGTATAGCCGGAGAGCGCCAAGCGCGCCGAATCGTATTGGCACGAGCAGACCGTCTGCCCGGAGACGGGATCTGTAATAATGGGGCGGCCATTCTCACAGCAGGGCGTAGTGCCGTCATTGATAGTGGCAGCATTGGCGGCGGCGGCGCCTACACCATCAATGCCTATGCCGACATCACCCTCGCTACCGCTGACATCTGCATTTAGGCTCAAACTCAAGCCGATTGCATTGGCGGTGCTGCTATGCAGTATACTGAGACCGGAGGTGCTAGCGCCGCTGTTGTTATTGTTGTTTGTATTATTTGATGTTTGCGAAATTGCACCTGGACTAAGCGGTCCAGTGGTTGTGACACCGCCAGTTGTGGTGGCCGACGAGCCGCCAGATGGACTGAGTGATGCATCATTGCCGCCAGAGAGCGGTGACGGTGCGCTGCCGCTAACCATGCCGATGTTGTTTGCCGACATGCCGTTGGAAATGTTAGCGGCGGCGGCTGCTGACTGTGCAACACCGTTGAGTAACTGTAAGTAGGAAGCAAAGTAAGTAAGGAAATTGAAATTTCATCGAAACTAAATGGCGCATAAAACAATAGGTAAGTGTATTGAAGAAATATGGCAAGAGCAGGTGATTGGTGTGTAACGGCAATGCGAGGCAATAGTGCACACGGCAAACAACCGTTTGTAGCGCCGAACAAAAACCGCTAACAAGACATTCATAGAAGAAGAAGCACGCACTTTCGAGAAAATAAACACACCAGCCACATCAAGCAACAGCATTGGTGCGGTCAACACGAGTCAGCCAAGCAGATTAAGACGATAACTCCGAATGTCAAAATATTTTATTGGCTCGGCGCAATTTGCGATCCGTTCCATCTATTTTCACTTCATTAATTTTCAATTTATCACAGTCAGATTTCAGATACGACAGCAAAATCAACAATGTATATGTGGTACCTACTCGGCTAGTGGTAGGTAGGGTCGTATGAGATGGTCGAGTGAAGTCGTTGGAGCACAACAATAACAGCCGAAAACAAATCATGGGTCTTGCGTACAAGAAAATAAAATAAAATTCGTTGCGGTTGCTGATCCGCAGCGTGCGGCGGTAACGGTGCAACAATCAATAAAGCAATGAAATTAAAAAAAGGCCAAAATGAAATGGACAGTGAGTAAAGCCACAGAAGGGAATAAGCAACCCAAATAGAACCAGAAAACGTTTGGGGCACGATCGCGCGCAAGCAAATATACATACATGCAAATGGCAAATCAACAATGTAGCTGTGACTGGTGGCGCATGCGCACAGGTATGCCGCAGCGGTCGCACTCGATAACCGCAGCGAATCGCAATGTGTCCGCAAGATTGAGGCTACAGGGAAGCTAAAGTCAGCTATGAAGCAGAAAAATAAAACAACAATACCAAAGTCACCTATAAAGCAGAAAAATAAAACAACAACAACTTTAAATAACGCCAGACACAACACAAAAGCATAAAATTGGGAAAATAAATTGAAAAAAAATTAAAAAAAAAATCAACGAAATCTAAATAACGTTCGTTGCCGACTGAGACACACACATACATATGTATTTCGGTTAGGCCATGCTGCACGCCGTGCTGTCACTGCGCGGATTCATTAGCTGCGGCTGTCACATTTTATTAGCCAGCATTTTGATGTCCTCCACGAACGTACGAAAGCCAAAACAAAAAGACTGCGAGGAGGACAGCGCAAGCCACGAACGTGTAAAACGAAAAAAAAACATAGCGTACATAGAAATTGTAGCAACAGCAGAAGAGATTAAGCAACAAACTAAGCAGCCTACAAATTTGGCTGCCAGCAAAAGACGGTTTTATAAAGTTGAAGAAATTGAAGAATAAAAAAATGAAGCCAAGATCAAAACTCAACTGGACACATGCTCCACATAATGACGCCATGTGCACCAAGCAAAAAAATAGAAGAAACAAATAATTGTTTAGTAGAAAACATAAAAAAAAAAATAAAACACAGAAAAATCGAGCAAGTCTAGCGGCTAGCAGCTTACACGAAAACCGTGGACGCGTCAGTGGCGGCAGCAAAGCAAAGTGAACTCGTCGCTTTTTTTCCTCATACTAATACTTTAACCTCGTTTTTTTGATGAAACTACCTTAAAAGAATGTTTCATTGCTTTCCTTTCTTTTTTGGTTGCGAACTCTTTGCCATGGATCTGGCAGACGAGTCAGCAGCGATCCCACAGCACCAGCACTGGCCACATTTTATCAGATGCTAAAGACTCGCGCGCAGCAAAGTAAAGACATTCAAAGTGAAACTAAGGTACGGCTAGGATCGGCTAAATGGCAGCTGATAGTTGATGACAAATTTCGTACGCCATTTGGAATGTGGCAGCATTGAGTGGTCGCAACCATTAAACGGCAGCGACGGCGACGGCGGCAGCGGCGACGACGAACGTCAAGCGGCGCTCAACCAGAGCCGCAGGTCAGCCATGCAAATGAGCGTGGATCGCGTCTAAATATATACACACATAAGCTTGGGTTGAACCGCTAACTTAGTCATTATAGCCACTCCACCAAGTGGAGTCTGCAATAAAATCAACTTGAGGTTTCGCACAACTGTCTTCCCGAATTCTGCTGTGTGCAACCTACACTCACGCTCAGTTAATGTGCTCGCAACTCGCGATCACTGCCAACTGATTGCGAATTATTGTTTTATATGTGAGATGTGGCAAAATATGCAAATTGTCCCATGACAAGTGTTGCTATTTATTTAGGCGCTGCGTAAGTCCGTCTGTTTGTCTGTCTGACTGTCTGCATTGCGTTTCTTTGTTTCATTCATCTGATTGTCGGTTTTATGTTGTTATTGTTATTTAACTGTATAATTTTCACGCATTTAGCAGACATATCAAATTTCTTTATGATTCCTGACGTAGATTATGAATACGTCTTCGGATACATATATGTATGTGTAACATATAGTGTAAACAAAGGCTAGTGAGTATGTTCGTACAACATTTTCTTCAGTGTTTGTGTGAATTAAAGACCAGAAGGGTGTAAACTTATTAACAATGTTTACAATTAGCGAAAGAAATGTCCATATTTTTCAAATCATGTTAAATGACGGCAGACTGTAAGGTCGCTGAAGTGCCTCTTCCCTCGGACGTCCTCAAACGAATGATAATATGAAAACCTTGTACGAGTATTAATATCTACTAAATGAAGAGAGTAATGAAGGCATCGGTTGTCTTATATTGCTGTAGAGAAGCTAGAAAGGATGGGAACTTCTACGAAACCATAATCAAGTCAATAACACCCCACAATGTATTCGTCTGGTAGAGGGTCCTCCAGAAAACTTCATTTACTAAGAACCTTAAACATGTCCAAAGAGTGGCTCACGTCGGCGTCAACGGTGCGTTGCCGACTATGCCAACAATAAAACTTAATGCCATTTTATACTAGGCATCCGCGGACATTGTCGAGTGGTGTATTACGTTGAAGTGTGCTCCAAAGCTGACGGAAGCTGGGTATTTGAAGCGGTGCGAACTTATATACGCCATCATTGTTCAATAAGCAGCCATAAGATAAGCTTATATCTAGCTATTAAAGTTGTATGGAGGATTAAGAGTTGGAAACATTAAATAACTTTCACCTACATCATCCAGCTTTAGCAAGACTGAGATTGAAACGCCTCGACATTCATACCATCTGATATAGCGGAAACTGACTTAAGTCGCCACAACAAATTTCTGATAGGCTAAAAGCGCTTTGTCGATGTGTAAGGATCTCATGATCTATTATATAACAGTTTTGGGTACCACAACGGATCGGTGTTCTAAGTTGTCCAAGTAAGGTCTCTGTTACGATCGAGCTTTATTGTGTCAGTATCTTCTGTTGCTTCAATGGTCAACATTATACTAAGTTTTTTTTTTCCTAGAGATCTCCCTAGCGGACAAGTACTTTGCATTCAATGTCTGTCACTATCAGCCTTTATACTTTTCACATCTAAATGTTAATGCTTTCAGGAGCCACTGTATTCTTTATTGTTGAAAGAACTAGGTCCTTTAGCAGCAAGCTCAGAATATTTATATATTTTTAGTTAGTATAAGCCATAATATTTTCACTAACATATATATCTCCGATTAAGCTAAGAGAAAGGAGGGTGACGGCGCTTTCTCGAAATTCTCATAGATCATTAATGTCAAAATTTCAGCCGATTCAGATTCAAAGGTTTGGTTTGCCCGCATCTCTAAGTAGTTATGTGCGCTGATTTTAGAAAAATTTAAACATTTTAATGTTAGCCTATAATTCGATGCTTATTTTTGGCAGCGAAAATTTCCAATGCATTACAAGAGAGCCTAACACCATGATGTTTTTCTTTCGGTAGCGCATAAAAAAAAACGGCTTCAAAAGCATGACGTGCAGATATTTAAAATCTCATAATGACAGCTCAGATTGAAAGTATGCAAGGTTGTATCTCATAACACAGCATATATTATGTCCAGCATTATATATTCGGTATGAGTATCATGTTACCGTGTACCATGAGACCACTTCACAACAGTGTTCGAAGCTATTGAAACACAATCCCAAGTTCCTTCCAACAGCTTTCAAGAAACCTAGATGCACTGATGCAAATCATCGACCAAGAGACAATCGAAATAGCAAACTTCAGCTAGTGAACCTGCGCCAAAGACAGCCGGAAAGTGAATGGTCACCGTTTTTGGAATAGAACTGCTCTGGTAAATACATACGTATAATGTACGTTGTAAGTAGTCTTTTTTGAAACCTCAACATTCTATAACAGCAAAAAAAATCCTCACAAAAATCCCAAAAAGTGGAAAAATACCGAAAATATATATGAGTAGTTAATGAATTAATTAGAAGCTTAAACCATCGATCATCTCACTACTGTAGAGTAAAGTAAGCAACCATAGGAGAAAAAGTTTTCATATACAGCAATTACTACTGTGTATTTTATATTATAACGCCCCAAAACTGCTCACATGTATTTTCATAATTTTCGTCCAACGTATACCAACATATTATTAGTGCAGAAATTGCAAATTAGCAACATGATAAGCAAACGGTCGCTAAACAAACATTAAGCATAATAACCATAATCATCTAGTAGCAGCAAATCTGCATGCAATTGCAACCAATACGAACGCCCAACGAAAAAAACACTCTTACACATACAAAAACACAAACAAGCGCTCGTAATCTGCATATGCGATTACGCAGCGCCAGCGAAAGAAATTGCCTGACGAGATGGCCTAAAGGCGCAGCTACTGCGCAACACAACCTGCAACACACATACACGCCCAACAGTGTTGCGCATGTAAAGGCCTACGAACACAATGCGTTATTTACGTTTATGGGCAAACACAATTGGGAAGTTGAGAAAGCAAGAAAAAAAAAAGATCAAACAAAACCTTTACCATGGCGAGCGGGTGGCGCATTTGTGGCATGGAGCGCGCAGTAAGGATGGGAGCATGCGATGGGGCATAACATGCAAGATCTATAATAATGGTAATTTGGC